GGAAGGTTACTATACGATTGGTAAAGCGAAGCTAAATAGAGGGACTGGCCATGCCGGAGGGGGCGACGACGATGGATTACGTGATGGAGGCAGCATCTGGCGCTCACTTCTCCGGTCTGCGATTGGATGGTCTTCTCTCTTCTCCTTCTTCTCCTCGTTCTACTTCTTCCTCTGCAACTCTGGCTGAGAATAACTTTCCGAAACAGCCCTTCGTCATCGGTAATTCAATTCCAAGACCAAGACAATTTTTTTTTTTTCTCTCTTTAGCATCTGCCATTTAATTGTAGCTAAATCTTATCTACGTTATTATAACACCGTCCAATTTTCTTCCCCCTGCTTATCGTTTCCTTTCTCGCTTTTTGCTATTTTATATGAATTTTCTATTACTGTTATCCCCGTTACTGGTTTGTGTTTTAGGAATTTGGTCGTTTTCGTTTGTTTTTTATTTAAAATTTATTTTAAGTATATGATTATATGGCACTTCGATGCTAATTTCTCGATTTCTTTTCTTTTTTGGGAATTGTGTAGGAGTTTCGGGAGGTACGGCGTCGGGTAAGACGACGGTATGTGACAGGATCATTCAACAGCTTCATGATCATAGGGTCGTACTTGTCAATCAGGTTAGTATCAGTAGTATTCTTTCTTCGCTTAACTTGGTTATTGCAAGAAATCCTTTTTCATTTATTTCTGTTATTGCTTTTTATTAGCAATATTGTATAGGTTTTGCATCGTCAATGCATTATGTTATTTGAAACAGTGTAGATTAAGATGGATTCCTTTTGGACCTTCACTGAATTATCTTTGCTTAGGCTTTCTCCATTTAAACACTGCACAGTTTGCACTGTCAAATAAGCTCCAGACGATAAATTACTTGGACAAACACTGAATTATCTTGCAAAGACTTGCTCCACAGTTTTTTTTTCCTCCCCAACTTGAACCCCCTAAATTCTTTTTTCCTCTACCAAGTTATGTGTACTGTCAAGCAAGCTTGTTGAACTTGATTTTAAAATTTTGAAGACGCACCATATTACCTATTTTGAAATAGGCAGGACACTGATGGTTATTTTCAGCATTGTTGGATTGGAATTGTCATCTTATAAATGACATATATTAATAGGGGCAGAAGTGCCACTTGTTCAACAAAATCTATTGATTGAAACTGCTGATGTTTTTGAACTTGATCAATAAAATCCGAGTTGATCAACATTCGTGACTGCTGATGAAACTGCAATGTTAAACCCCAGTAACATAATAAATAGGCTACATTGTTGGAGAGGGCAAAATGGAAACACTAAAACAAGAATCTGAGTTGACTAAAAAGAAAGCCAGCACTGAGATCACAAGCTCATAACAGGTAAAAAGAACAAAGCAAAGATCCAAAGATAAAAGCCAATAATAAATGGTCAGATGCTGTGTTCAAGATAAAACTGGTAAATCATGAGTGCCCAACTGGATGAGGTTGAAAAATGATCAACATGATTGACTAACCATAAAGAGCCAAAGTTGAGGGAGGTCAATAGATTTGTGCAAGAAACAGAACTGATGATGAAAAACAAAAGCCAGTCAACTATGGCCAGATATAGATCACCAGATAAGTGGTTTTGATAACAGATGCTTCAAAGACACAACAATGAAGGTGGGCAAAACAATGAGCAAGTTGATCAACAGTTACTCAAGGATGATTAACTAATCAAGATAAAAAAAATTCAACACTGAAGGAAAGACCAAAGAGGAAGATAACAGAACAATATTGGCATATTCTTCTGATAATAAAAGGAAATTTATTAAATAGAAAGAAGAATGTAAATAGCAAGGTGAAGAGGTTTCATCACAAAGCAACCAAAAATAAAAGAAAATACTTCAAAACTACTCAAAATGACAAAATCAACATTCACAAGATCTAAAATTGAACAAAAATCTGAACAATCTCAAATCTTCAAAGTCCGGGTGAACACCTAAAATTGCATCAACAAAAGGAATATCTCATGTGGTTGACTTGGACTGAATTGTGGTTGTCTAGATAAATTGAAGAAGAAGGGTCATGTAAAATCAGTCACCACAATGACAATACAAGTGCAGCACATGCCCTTCCAATTTTTTTGCATTTAGAGCAAAGACTAGTGAAATGATGATGATCGTCATCATCCATGCCTTATCCCAACTGTATGGGATTGGCTACATGAATCATGTTTCACCAATCGATTCTATTTAAAGCCACATCCACTGATCCACTATTAAATTATTAGTGCTTAAATCATTTTTTACTACTTCTATTCTACCCATGTCCTTTTTGGTCTACCCCTAGCCCTTTTAGCCCCTTCAACTTGTAACAAATCGCTTGTTCTAACTGGTGCTGTTGATGGTCTTCTGTGCACATGACCAAACCATCTTAGTCTACTTTTTCTCATTTTATCACCTATTGAGGCTACTCTTAGGTTCCTACAGATGATTTCATTCCTAATCTCATCTTTTCTAGTTTTTTTGCTCATCAAAACCAGGCTCCTTTAAATGGCTAAAGGCGAAACTGAGGCAGTTGGGATAATGCCTTGAGGAATACCAAGACAAAAGCCTTGAGATTTTTTTTTTTTTTTTTTTTTTTTTTTTTTTTATATAGTGAAAACTTAAAAATAGGAAGCAAACATCTAAAAATTGTTTAAAGAAATTTGGAGCTACCAAGCATTGAAAACGCACAAAGATGACATCACTTGTCATTTCCAATCCATTCAATAAAATGCTTTCACTTGTACTAGCATATATTGCTCAACTGCATCCTTTTATTTCTATATAATTTGCATTGTCAAGTCTTATGGTTCAATAATTTTTATTTTTCTAATATCTCTAAGCATCTGCAAATGACTGAGAAATTGGTAAGAGATGCCACTATATGGGTTAATAATAAAAAAAAAAGAAAAAAGAGGTGCCACTGTGTGTAGTCTAGGAAAAGAGCTATTAAAAATAGAAAAGATGCCTCCATAACCCTTATTAAGTGAACTTTCTATATAGAGAAGAGAAAGTTTATAATGTGTCATTATTCTACATCTTGATAAGCTGACTGTGTTGATATTAAAGTTCAAGCTTGTTGCCTTTCCAATAATCATGTAATGCTGGTATGCATCAACTTGTGTTATCTCTGTTATAAAGATTAAATATGTTTTCGCTATTGTGTAGGATTCCTTCTACCGTGGTTTGACTCCTGAAGAATCAGCACGTGTTCATGAGTACAATTTTGATCATCCCGGTAACTATTTTTATGTATTTGTAGTCATTTTGGACTTTGAACGTTAATTTGTGAATGAAAATAGGCTTATAAGGTATTGTATTGCCATTTTTAAATCATGTTTCTACCAAGTTTTGGTTTGAGCAGACCATACAGAATTTATATCTTAAACATTTTTTTTTCAATAGATGCTTTCGACACTGAACAGCTTCTTGAGTGTATTTGCAAGCTCAAAGCCGGACAGTCTGTCCAAGTTCCAATATATGATTTTAAGACCCATCGACGCTGTTCTGATAGTTTTCGTCAGGTGAGTTTTTATGTGAAATGTTTAATTGTATATAAGCCATCAAGATAACCCCATCATGGCTTATTTATCTTTCACTGTTGTATACCTGGAAGAATGCTTTTGATTACTTCCGTAGAATGGATTGCAGGGATATATCCACCATCTCATTTCATGTGAGATACCAAATCCCATTCTATCACTGTCCTCCATCACAAGTAGAAAGAGCTCGGGATGGTAATAATTATCAATGTTCAATAATCTGAAGTCTTGATTGTTAATAAAACTTGCAGATATGAATGAAAAATCCAATCAAATTGAGTTGAATATTTGATTTAGTCTTGAATATCAATTATGTTTATAAAAATTGAAATTAAAAGACCTACTTGCAACTAGTAAGTTTGTAAGTAATAAAAGTTCTGGGAAGGTCAAAATATTTCAAGGAGATTGTCCTAATGAAACTCATCTGAGCAACTCTAGTTGCTGAGTTGGTTGAGCATTTTTCACCAATGACTTCATGCAATAAGTCAGCTCTTGTCAACTATATGGAGCTTTCTGCAGACAATGAAATCATGGATGGAGTTGACCTGATGGATTTTCTTTAGCAATAAAATAATAGAAGCGAACACATCTAGTTTATGAGAAATGATTTAGGTACATCCCTTTTTGATAGGGCACATGCCCTTAATCATTATTCAAGGGGTACACATTTTAAAGGACAGATTTACCATATGTATTGATTTCTATTATTAAAAAACAGGGGTTTCTTTGTCTTTTAATGAGGGAAGTGTCTGGTCTATCAAAAATGAGATGTTCCAATATCACTTAATTTATTTCTGAAAGGTTTGCTATCTAACTATATGTTACAAATTTGGTGGCTAAGATAGTTTTGTGTCATGAGTATCAACCAACTAGTTAATTATGCAGTCAGTTTGGCCTTCAACTGACCAGTTAGTTGACTGACTAGTTAACGCTTTGATAACACTGCTGTTCCTTTTATTGCATTCTTGATGCCTTGTAATCTTGCATCTTTGTTAAGGTCACTGGTTCAGGCTTGGCTTCAGGTTTCTTGGGGTTGTATCGGTGTCTTCTCTTTAGAATGCGGTGCTTTTTGTGGTTTGTTGTATTTGGGAAGAGGGAAATACCAAAATAGAAAGACTTTTAAGGGTGCTACAAGAAGTGTCTTTGAGCAAAGGCAGGATCTTATTCAGTATTGTATATTAGTAGTAAAGGACTTATCAGAGTTTTAGAGGAGGGGTTGTGTCTATAATTGTCTAATCTTGGGAATAAAGTGCAAAACACTGTAAATTGGCTCTTCAGGGAGTGCTTCCCTCCCTTTTTACATTTCTGTACATTTATTTATTTTTTTTGTTGCAACTGTACTTTTGTTGACTGATAAATATGCTTTTTTACTTGCTAAAAAAAATCCAGCAGCCTATTTTCTAAAAGCAATTTACCAATTTAAGGGGTTCAATTGTATAAAAATAAAGAATTCAAAATTTCATTATATTATATATTTTTCTGAAGATCCAGATTTGGTACTATGAACCATGTAGATGCTCATTGTGTACTTATCTGATTTCTTTTTGTCAGGTAAATGCATCTGATGTCATTATTCTGGAGGGTATTTTGGTTTTTCATGACCCATGTGTGCGCAACTTGATGAATATGAAGATTTTTGTTGACACAGGTTCCTTCCCTCTCTTTATCTTGTGTATTTAGAGCTTCATAGAAACATACAATATAAACTATTGGTGGGAGGAGGGGATGGCTGAAAAAATCTCCCTTGTTGATTATTTGGTACTTGGTAGTACACTTGTAATTGTTGTAATGTCACATGTTTGTTGTGTTAGTCATAATAATTCAAGGATTTCTGTGCAAATGTCAATGAGAGATTTTTTTGGGTAACCAATGATAAATGTATTAAAGCAATAATTAAAAGAAGATGGAAGAACAATGGAAGCTTTTCATTTGATACTAGTAGCTGACATCCTGAGGGCTTGGAAGGAAGTAGCAGATTCCAGGATTGAAAATAAAGTTAATGTGGAATGGAACTCGCCTTCAAGCAATAGAGTGAAATTGAATTTTGATGGAAGCTCATTGGGAAATTCAGGCTTATCAGTAATTGGAGTCTTGGAGGTATGTTTAAAGATGCGAGGGGTGAAGTGGTGGCTTTATTCTCAGGTCCGTTTGGAGTTGGGGATTCCCTAAGAGCTGAAGTGTTGGCACTACTTCAAGGAATGAAGTTTGTAAAACAATTTGGCTTCCAACAGATGGAGGTGGATGGGGATTCAAAACTGGTAATATCTTGGACAAGTGACAGCAACCCTGGTATTGTGGATCGACAGGTAAATAATAAGAGAGATTAGGAGTGTAGTTAGGGGACACTTTTAGATGGGTAAAGAACAAATGAGATGACTGACTCTTGACCAAGTAAAGGGGTGTCTAGGGGACAATTGTTCTGGGCACAATTGTAATTGGGATTGAAGCAAACTGTAAAGCGGGCTGGATTTTACTAGCTCTGATCTTGTAATTGTCTTATTTTAATATCTAATGAAAACACCTTCTTACTGATAAAAGAAAAAGATGGAACACAAAAACAAAAAATAGGAAAATCTACAACCCTAACCCAATCCGACCTGCCCAACCCTAACCCTATCCCTAATTAAATTCCTTCAACCCTAATCGGGTCGGGCCCAACCCAACCTTCTTTCCATCCCTTAAAGTTCTCATAGAACTTCTCAATTTCAAATCTTATCTCAATTTTCACTACATATATTAATCCTATGCTTCATTAGTATTTGTTTGTTGATGTTTTTATTGGTTCATTTAGTACAACATTCAGAAAAATAAGTGTTTGAAATGACTATAGTTTATTGTGAGTTATGATTATGATAGATCTTTTATGGGTGGCAAGAGAGGAGATGAAGAATAAAATACTCAAAAATACATAAAAGTATGCTATCAAGGTTTTAGTCTTTCTGATTAAGATTAAGTGAAGTGATTATCTTAAAAGAAATATATGATACTATGTGGTGGGGGCTATACAACTATCATGCATCTAAACAAATCAATGTATGATATATTATATATATAAGATGTATTATAGAGTCGGGTTGTCCGAAGGGTCAACCCTTACCCAACCCGAAGTAAAGTTGGGTTCATGAATTTCAACCCTAACCCTAACCTGAGCATCAACCAGACCCAATCCAACCTGACTTTTTCGGGTAGGGTTCAGGCCAACCCAGCCCAAGTTGCAGCCTTAGTATAACTTGGGTGGTTTCAGATTGAGAATTTTGTCAAAATCTGAATGGGCCTTGCCTGAAAGCTTGGGTGTCTATATAAATGGAGATCAATGTTTTAAAACATGGTGCTGTGACATGAGGTGTTCCACTACCCAAGGCATGAGGCGTAGTTCAAAATGCAAGAGGCATAAGCCTCCTCAAGAGGAGGAGTTTTTAGGCATACTATCTATCTATCTATCTAATTTTCTTTTCTTTTCTTTCTATCCTTCTTTCCATAGGCCCATGAATCTCTTTGTTCTGTATCCGTCCCACTTCCATGACCATCTTTGAATTGCCCTCCATAATCAGCTTGTTGATATTTAACTCTCGCCTTTTGGACTTTGTGCAATACAGCCATAGTTTTTGCCCTTAAAGAATCCCCTTCTCCAATTGGCTTTGAGTACATCGCTATCAGATCAGCCTATCACAACACCGCCTTCATTCCTAAATACTCACACCTCAAGGCCCCAGATTTCGTACTACTCCCATCAATATTTAATTTGATGTATCCTTCCCCAGGTGGCAAGTTTGGTGACCGACATATTTGAATTGTTTCTTTATTGCTTGAAGTTCCTGCCACTCCCCTCATGTCCTAAAAATGTCATCAGTGAAAAATGGTGAGAAAAATTCAAATGTTTTGATCCAGTGATGCCACTGTAACTGTAATGTATTCAATTATTGTTTCTCTTGTTTTCTCTTTTTCCTTAAATATTCTTGCATTTCTTTCCTCCCAAATTGTTGAAACTACTGCTGCACTTGTTGTTTTCCACATTGTTCTTCCTCTTTTCTATGGCTATCTGAAAGGTGAAGAAGCAAAGAGTCCACCCGTGGTGTTTGGAGCATCCCATCTGCACCCAAACAAGGTAAGTAACCATTTCCAAACAGCAAAAATAAACGAGTAGGAGATTAGTAAATGGGAAGAAGTCTCATTACACAATTCTTGCAAAGAACCTGCCAATTTGGGAACAAAAACCAATAAGACCTTTTTTTGGAGAGTATCAGAGGTGTTTTTTTCATGGAACACCTCTCAACAAAAAGCCCCAACCTTGGGAGGATTGGGTTGACACCAAATTTCGTTAACAGGAAAGGCTTCCAGGGAAAGGAGGAAGTTAATACCCTAAGAAAGGAAGCACATGAGAAAGAGCTTGAGGGGTGAAGGACCAAATCTTACCATCCGGACTGGAAGTCCAAGAAGACATTATCCAACAACTGTAATAAATTGATGGAAACTTCAATACCTGTATGAAATTAAAAGAGTCTATTTTATCTTCTAAGTGTTGAGGAAGTTGAGCATCCTTAGCAGGCCATCTATTGTCATTGACCTATTTTGATAAACTCTAAATCTTGCTCAGATAAAGGAGGATCGTGTCAGGTTGGCAGCTGGAACTAAAACTTGCCAAACTCTCATGATGTGGATCCTAATTTGTATTTTCACGCTCATGCTGGGGCGTTCTCTAAAAATTATGTGTTGAACCTCAGCCTGAGTGTTGTGTTGAATGGGCAAAGGTATACTAGGAGTAGGATGGTCCTCGGAAGTGACCTGCCATAGCAATACCTGCTTGTGGTGTCAAATAGGCAAGGGTTCCTGCATCCTTTTGGATGGGGGTGGGTAAGCTAATCAAAGAAGCACAGCTTCACTTAGCCATTTGGATTTTAGAAACACCAACAAGAAAGGCTTTGGAATGAGTAGACACTATGAAGAGGAGAAGGATTAATATTGATGGCTAAAAAACTAAAGAAACTGATGGCTATAAAATTATAAATTATGGTATACAGGAGAAGTAAACAAATAAAAATGGAGTAGTGTTAATAATAGATATGAACCTAAGAAATGAAACTGTAAGTGTTAAAGGAATTGGTGATAGAAGAGGGGAAGAACATCATGGGTATGCACAAGATCTGCTATTTGTTGGACAGTTTGGGAAGAGAACTTGAGAATATTTTCAGACAAGGAAGCTGAACTAAAATTATTGAAGTCATTACAATTAGAGTGGTTCATTGGGTAGCATGGAACTTTTTGATGATGTCCCAACTGCTGATTTTCTTAGAAATTGGAGGGAGGTGGCTGTTTCAGGTTCTCACAAGGCTGTTATAGCCCCTATTTGGTCTCCACTTGTTAGTGGTTTCATCATGCTGAACTTTGATTGAAGCAGTCAAGGGAATCCTGGTCCTTCAGGCATTGGAGGAGTATTTAGTGATGAAGAGGGTATAATAGTAGCTCTTTATTCAGGTGCAATTGGTGTAGACAATTCTTTAAGAGTTGAGGTCTTGGTGGTTCTGGAGGGAGTGCAAAAGGGCAAAGGAGTTGGACATTAGGAAGTTGGTTCATTGAAGGAGACTAAAGCTGGGTAGTATGTTGGCTGCCAAAGAAGGAATCTGGGTTTTGGTGCTATCTTAATGAAAGTAAGAAGTTTAAGTGGTTGACACAAAATATGGAATTAAAATTGCAATGGGCAAAGAGGAGTGCCAATTCTTTTTGCTGATGTACTTGCAAAACAAGGGGTGAGAAGAGATCAGTTGTTTTGAACATTGTTGTAACTTGTAACCTTTTGTATTGTTGTGGGGAAAGTTAAGCTTATCTCTCCCCTGTTTTACTTGTATCTTGATTTAATCCTTAATAAAATGTTTCTGTTATTGATAAAAAAAGAATCAATGATAGAATATTTTTTTATCAGCAAGAAGGATTTTTATTTAGACTTGAAAAGCTGCAGCATGACTTCCTTTGAGAAGGAGGGGATGAAAAAAAGGAGCACTTAATTAACTGGGAGGTAGTTTGCAAACCAAAGAAGGATGGAAGTTTGGGTCTTGGACACTTGTTAGAAAGAAATGTTGCTCTTCTTGGGAAATAGTTATGGTGTTCCCCCTGGAGCAAGATAGCCTCTGGGCCTTCATAATAAGAAGCAAATATTGAAGGAACACCAAGCCGAACCACATTAAACCTTGGTGTTTCTCTATTTCTTCCTTTTGTTTCCTCCTTGAGTTGCTATTCTATTTTATGTTGGTTAACATGGTATCAAAGCTATTTTATGTTGTTTAACAATTTAATTTACAGAGCCTATATTCTATTTTAGTCCTACTTATTTTAAAACATCTTTTTTCTAAGGCATTTGCCTGCAAATCTAATTTTGTGTTTAAATCTATTTGTAGTGTCATCAGTTAATATTATGTCATTAGCAAGGAGTTAATAGGGACTTGCTGTATTGAGCATTAATTGTCTTTGGAGGGTGCATCTCACACTTATTTGTCAAAAAATGTCATGACAATAAAAAATAAAAAAGGCATTCATGCATGTTCAATGGGAACATTGCCTTACTAAAGTGATAACTGATTATGAGAATGGTCTTGTCTGTTTGTACGAATCTCTTGTATACTCTTACTTGAAGTCCTTCTTTCATCTAAAGAGGATTTCATCCCTTTGTTTGGCATAGCTTTATTGGTGTGAGTAGTCGCTCAAGATTGAACAGACACTTAAAAGGAGAAGAAAAAATAAGAAAAGAAGAGGGAGAGAGAGAGAGAGAGAGAGAGAGAGATTTTGATAAAAGAGAGTTGGGTTGATGTTTGAAACAGCCGCCCCCTCTTAAATTTATATACATAGTAACATACTTGTAAAAGGACTGAATTGCTTACATGGCAAGATAAGATAAGATAAGATAAAGCTGAAAAGGACTAATCCTAATCTTATAAAAGACTAGTCCTAATCTTATCATAAAGAACTAATCCTAATCATGACTTATTGCTGACATACGAATAGTGGGGACCACCTTAGTGGGGTCCACATTAGTGTTCTCTACAGTGTGTTTTGATGTCACCTGTATTGACATGATCTGAATTTAGTTTCTCATTGCACTTAGGGCCCTAAGTTTATTATTGAGAATACTTTAAAAGAGAGGCTTATCATCAGAAATAGATTTATCTGATCTATGTTGATTAATGTTGAAATAAGGTTGTTTAAGAAGGGGCTATTACTTGGTGAAATGGTAAAATCTCAGGCTGGCAAACATGAGAACATTGATTCAAGTCTGAGGGAGACCACTTTGTGTGAGAAAAAATGTCAAAGGTTAGGAGTTAGGACTGTACCCAGTCTACCCCTCCCGAGATCTTAGATAGATAGGACCAACATTGTGTAATGGCCTTTTTTAGAATGTCAAGAAATGAACTAATTCCTTTGTTTCTTTTTATTAAAGAAGAAATAGTATTCCTTTACTAACTTCATTTCAGACAATAAACTTGTAGTTTCAAATGCTATGATAAACTAAAATAAAATGGTTTCATTCCATATCTGGTTGATGAGATTTTTGGCATGAGCCTTATGTGATAGGCATCATTATTCTATTTCTCCTTGTCTTTCCCTTGTTTCCATATCTTATTCATTTGAAATTTGTTTCATTCAGATGCTGATGTGAGGCTTGCTCGTAGAATAAGGCGTGACACAGTTGATAGGGGTAGAGATGTAAACTCTGTCCTTGAACAGGCAAGCATCTATGTTATCTTTTTCATCTTATGATTGGTAACCATAAAACTTTATTAACAAGTAAATATATTACAAATGTACACGATGGCCAAGTAACCAACTTAATAGGCCAGCCAAGGCTGCCTATCCCTCTCTTGTGCTTTACACTTCAATTTTACAATTGTTCCCAAAAAATTTCTCCCCAATTAACTCCGACCTTGTAAATCTTCCAAAGCATCTACTTTGTCTTCTATTATATCTATTTACTTGTCAATGGAAAATTTAAACCCTTCACTGGGCTATTGAACATTTTTTTATTTTTGATAAATACTGGGCTATCAAATATTCCCCCTTGAGAAATTATTTTAGATTATTTGGACAATGTCCTATGAGTGCTCTTCCCAACTTGTCAGTTTGTTTCTTATCTATTTTGAAAGTTACAGCAAATATGGCGGATCAGATTGAAACTATTCAGCAGGGTTTCTTATGGGATAGGGCTGGTTATACTGTCATAGGAAGATTTATTTATTTATTTTTTTTTCTTTTCCTGATGGATTCTTATAGGAAGAAAGTTCATTTGGTAAAATGGGAGAAAATATGCAGGTCTGGGGATCAGAAGAATGAGGGGTCAAATGAGGCACTTTTGGCTAGATGGCTTTGGAGGTTTGTTAAAGAGAGGGATGCTTTATAGAGAAGTGTAGTGGTTTGTATGGGGTGGTTAGGTTTGAGTGAGACTCTAGGAAATTGTCATCATCTTATGGAGTTTGTGTGTGGTAGGGGATAAGGAAGTTTCATGAATAATTCAAAAGATATTCGAAATATTTAGTGGGAGATGGAGGTAGAGTGAAGTTCTGTGAATATGAATGGTGCGGGGAAGGAAGATTATGTGGTATATGTCTGAGATCATATATGTTGAGTACAAAAGGCATAATGGTCAAGCAATTTTGAGATAAGGGATTACCAGATAGTATGGTATTTGGTTTATAGATTGGATGATTCACAGGTTGAATTTAATGTACCAAATGCAAGATAGCGGAAAGGATGTTTTAATGGGGAATTTTCAGTTGAGTCTTCTTGAAGCTTTGGCTAGAAACCAGTAAGAGAGCGTGAACATCAAGGGAATTTGGGGTAAATCCCATTCAATTCAGAGTTGTGGCTTTTGAGTGGTTACTGACTATTTATAACATTGTGACTTTGGATCACTTGAAATCTAGACTTTCAATATCTGAGCAGGTATATGTGTAAGAAGCATAAAGAAAATACGAAACATTTGCTTATTAATTGTTATGCAGAGTTCACTTCTTTTTGTATTTTTTTTTATCAATAACCGAACAGTTTTATTAAAAATTTAATAGCTGATGCAAGAGAAAAGGAGAGGGATAAGCTCTCTTAACCCTCCCCAACAAGAAACACAAGCTTACAACAAAGCCCAAAACAAGTTACCCCTTCCCACCCCTTGTTTAGTAAGTACATCAACAAAGGAGTTGGCACTTCTCTTCACCCACTGAAATTCCACTTGATTCTGGGTGATCCATTTGAATCTTCTTTTTTCATTTACATAAAGCCAAAATCTTGGTTCTTTTTGTATCCAATTAATCACCAACTTAGAATCGCCTTCAACAATCAGTCTTCTAATTTTTAGCTCCTTTGCCCTTTGTACTCCTTCCACAACAACCATAATCTCGGCTCTAAGAGAGTCTCTGTGCCAATTGGTCCTGAGAATAAAGCTACAACTTTTCCTTCTTTGGCTCCAAAAACACCTCCAATACCTGGGTTGCCTTGACTACTCCCATCAAAATTCAGCTTAATGAACAGCTGGTGGGGACCAAACATGCTTGATTTCAACCTTAGAAGGGGCTCAGTGAGCAACTCCCTTCCAATTACTAAGTAAAGCATCTGTAGAAATATCCTCAAAAATTTCCAAGTATTTCATCCACTGCACCACTCTGATAGTAATAACCCTGCTTCTCACTTTTTTTAGAGAAGATTGCCAAATTTCTTTCTTCCCATATTGTCCAACAGGCAGCTTCTCAAGTGCATCTCCACAGAATCTGATCCCTCTTCTTTGGCCACCTGACAGAAAAGGAAGCAAACAAGCTTTGTATATCTGATTGGGAAGGCCATCTGCAGCCAAACAATGAAAGAAACCAATCCCAAATAGGTAGGACAAAGGGGTAGGAAATTAATAAGTGATAGCAAGTCTCACTATCAGCCTTACAAAGAATGCACCAGTGTGGGGATAAACACCAATTTGGTCTTTTTCTTTGAAGTCACAAGAATTGAACCTTTCCAAGAAAGCTTGCCAACAAAAAGCTGCAATCCTAGGAGGGATAGTGTTAGTGTTCGGTCTGCCTGTTAGACTGATAACAGTCAAGGAAGAGAAAGAGAAGAGAGAAGGAGAAGAGTAGAAGAGAAACAAGGAGGAAAGATTCTGGTTCGAATGAGAGAAAAAGACCCTCTCCCATTTGGCCAGATGTATTTTATATTACTAAAATAATGTGGAAAAGTCACATATGTCCCTACTTAAGTTAGGGACATTAAATCTAACATAAACTTACACATCAGCACCTAAACACAAGTACAAAGACAGAAATACCTCTACGTATTCGACACTAACATTCCCCCTCAAGCTGGAGAGTATATATATCATATAATCCCAGCTTGTTACATATGTAGTCCACTCTCCCCCGACTCAACCCTTTAGTAAACAAATCTGCCCACTGGTTCCCTGTGTTGACATATGCAGTGTCTATCACTCCACTCAGCACCTTCTCTCTAACAAAGTGACAGTCAACCTCTATGTGTTTGGTTCTCTCATGAAACATCGGATTAGAGGAAATGTGAAGTGCAGCCTGATTGTCATAGTAGAGTTTCATTGGAGTATCAACAGTGTATCCCATCTCCTGTAGAAGGTTCCTTAGCCACACTAATTCACAAGTAGTATGTGCCATAGCTCTATATTCTGCCTCTGCACTGCTTCTTGCCACAACTGTCTTCTTCTTGCTTTTCCATGTCACCAGATTACCCCCAAGAAAAGTGCAATAGCCTGTGGTAGATTTCCTATTAGATACAGAACCGGCCCAATCAGCATCAGTATATCCTTCTGTTTCAAGTTTTCCACCACTTTTGTATATCAAATCGTGACTAGGAGCCCCCTTTAAATACCTCACAATCCTTATAACCGCATCCCAATGTGGAACCAGAGGTTTCTACATGAACTGACTTACCACACTAACTACGAATGAAATGTTTGACCGTGTGATGGTTAGGTAGTTCAGTTTACCTACCAGCGGCCGGTATCTGCCAAGGTCTTCAAACACTTCACCCATATCACTGCTCAACTTAGTGTTTGTTTCCATAGGAGTTTCAACTGGTTTAGCACCTAACAACCCTGTTTCTTCAAGCAAATCAATAACATATTTCCTCTGACACAAGTTAATACCATGCTTGGACCTTTCTACTTCTATCCCCAAGAAATACTTCAATTTACCAAGGTCCTTTGTCTGAAAATGTTCTTGCAGAAAGATCTTCAACCTGTCAATGCCCATTTTATCATGCCCGATAATGCCAATATCATCTAGATACACCACTAATAGGATCTTCCCTACCTGAGAGTCATGACTGAAGACGGAATGGTCAATTTGGCACTGTTTCATACCAAACTTCTTTACTACCTCACTAAATTTGCCAAACCATGCTCGAGGAGACTATTTAAGCCCATAAATGGCCTTCAGTAGTCGGCACACCTTACCATCCTCCCCTTGAGCAATAAACCCCGGTGGTTGCTTCATATAGACCTCATCGAGCAAATCACCATGCAAGAAGGCATTCTTGATATCAAGCTGATGGAGGAGCCAATCATACATCGCAGCAAGAGAGATCACAAAACAGACTGAACCAATCTTAGCAACCGGGGAGAAAGTCTCAGTGTAATCAATACCATAGGTTTGGGAATACCCTTTGGCAACCAATCTAACTTTCAGCCGCTCTACACTACCATCAGGTAAGTACTTAGCCGTATAAACCCACTTACAGACAACAACCTGCTTACCAGGAGGAAGAGTGGTGAGTTCCCATGTATGATTATGAGCCAGAGCTAAGAGTTCCTCTTCCATCGCATGACACCATCTTGGAGAGGCAAGGACTTCCTGGACATCCTTAGGTATAACAACAGAGGTTAACAAAGAGATAAACTGGCGATGGGAAGTGGAAATGTGAGTCAATGAAACATAATTAGATATAGGAAGAAGGGTACAACTGTGCTTACCTTTTTGCAAGGCAATGGGAAGATCAAGATCAGATACCGGGGTCGGGGTTGTGTGTGGTAACAGCTGTAGGATCTGTCGACGATGATGAAGCTGGAGGAGGAGCCGGTACACGTGGGCGATATGTATACACATGATGGATCGGTGGTCGTTCAACAGGTGGTAGCACCGGAGGCAAAGACTTGGTCACTGCGGGAACAAGGGGAACAGAGTTCACAACTGGAAGAGGAAGGGGAGGAGGTGATGAGGAGGAAGTGACATCACTGGACCCCAAGAAGAATGGAGTAAACTCAAAGAAAGTAACATCAACACATACAAAGGAGCGTTGAGAGCTAGGGTGATAACACTTATACCCTTTTTGAGTTCGGGAATAGCCAAGGAAGATGCACTTAATAGACTGTGCATCTAACTTGTCCATTCCTGGCCCTAAATTATGAACAAAACAAACACATCCAAAAACCCGAGGAGAGAGAGGAAATAGAGACAAGGTAGGAAACAATGTGGTGAATGGGGAGTAACCATCAAGGATAGACGCGGGCATCTGGTTAACCAAGAAGCAGGAAGTAAGCACTGCATCACTCTAAAAGGGAACATTCATGTGATGCATGAGGGACCGAGCTGTTTCCAAGAGGTGACGATTCTTTCTCTCAGCCACCCCGTTTTGTTGTGGAGTGTAAGTACATGAAGTCTGATGGATAATGCCATGTTGGTCTAGGTAGTCTTGAAATGATGAAGAGAGATATTCATGGCCATTATTAGAACGAAAAATTTTAATGTAAACACCAAATTGGTTGCGAATCTCACCATAAAACTTTTGGAAAATGGTAAACAATTCACTTCTTTCTTTCATTAAATAGAGCCACGTCATCCTTGAATAATCATCAACAAAAATGACAAAATATTTATATCCATTGTATGACATCACTTTATAAGGACCCCAAACATCTGAATGAACCAAAGAAAAATGACTCGATACACGATTATCAACTCTAGGACTAAAGGGAACATGATGATGCTTCCCCAATTGACACGACTCACAATCCAAAACAAAAAGATGACTCAATGAAGGAACTAAAGACTTCAAAACTTTCAGTGAAAGATGACCAAATCGACAATGCCACTGGAGAGGAGAGAGAGACGATTGGAGAGCTGTTGACGTACTTCCACCACCATCAAGATAATACAATCCACCAGCTTCATGCCCTCCACCAATCTTCATCATCGTCTTGAGATCCTGAAAAACACACGAAGAGGGGTAAAAGGTAACAATTAAGAGACTTGGTCAACTTACTAACAAACATAAGATTAAAAGGAAATTTAGGGACATACAAAACTGAGGATAGGGATACAGGGTCCAGGTCAACATTACCAACACCACAAATGGAGGATGTGGAACCATTATCAAGGGTAACAGATTGTGATGTTGGGCAATGAGAGAGGGAAGAAAACATACCTGGAGTTCCAGTCATGTGATCAGAGGCTCTAGAATCAATAATCCAGGGATGGGGTGTGGATGCCAGGCAAGCCATACCTGAGTGTGCGAGAGTGGCCGTGTTCTGCTGAGATGTGGCCTGTACTAACCTCTCATACTCATCACGGGGAATACCCATCATCTCCTTCCCAGTAACATCTGTGGATGTAGAAAGTACCTGATCAGCTGAATGGCTCTTCTGTCTGAAGCTACTGTCACTGGTCACAACATGATTGGCCCAAGTTGAAGGTGGACCATGTAAGTCATAGCAATAATTAATGGTATGTCCATCCATACCACAGTGTGTACACCTCCTTGGACCCAAACTACGTCCTCTGCCACGGGCTCCCCCTGAATCTCGACCTCTAGTACGACCACCACCACGGTTATATGTAGGTCCACTACCACCAATCCAGCCATATGCCGGTCCACTACTACCACTATGGCCAGATTGAGCTCCCCGAGCTCCACCTCTAACACCACGGCCTTTGGATACTACTAGGGCTGATCTATCGGAAATATTAGGGTTCTCGGTAGATCCAATGGAAATCCTCTTGAGTCGAGCAAATACCTCTTCTAAGAAAGGGAGAGCTGACCCTCTTAGTATCTGAGCTCGCTTTGGTTCATATTCAGATTTCAGCCCCACCAAAAACCGAGTCACATCAAGTTGTTCTCTCTGTTGTTGTTGAATTTTGACATCAGAAGTGAGGGGTGATAAACATTCAATTCATTACGAATGTTTCTCATACTAGCATAGTACTCCTCAGGACTCTGATTACCCTGTTGTAGATTAAAGTATTCCTGGTACAACTGATATACTCTGGTTTTGTTGTCTTGACCCGAATACAACTTCTTAGCATGGTCCTACACTTCTTTGGCAGTATCAAGGAGCATGAAATTTACACTAATCTTGGGTTCCATACTATTCCATAACCATGTGATGATCTGTGCATTTGCCTGCTCCCAATCATCATACTCGTGAGAATCGGTGGAAGGTTTTTCGTCCCTTATGTGCTTCACCTTCTTCTTTGCCTTCAGAAAGACTTCTACAGATTTGGCCCAAGGTACATAATTTTCTTCATTCAGTAGGGACCATCACACTAGTCTTGCTATCACTGTTGTCTCCCATTGCTGAATTCGGCAAACTGCACAGTAGATCACACTACACTGATTTCAGCACTTACTACTGCTGCAGATTACACTCATTACACCACAAACCCAACTCCACGACTGCCTAAAACTTCACCACACTGTTTGAGGAACACCCCCGTTTGAATCACACTGAAGGATGCACAAATCCTAGCACACTACAATCTGAAATCCCACCATACAGTCTGAAATAAACTTCTCATTTGATTCACACCAAGAAAAAAAATGCATAAAACCTCTTACCTGATCACCCAAAAATCAGACCACACAAGACACCCACTGCACCACACGAATCAGCCCTCTTCTCTTCATCGATTAGGGGAGGGCTTCTTAGAAACTGCAGCAACCGACCACAAACACCACAACTAGAGGCATAGAAACCTCCAAGAGAAGAGGGCGATCACTCCTTTTCAGCCCTTTCCCTTATCTCTAGCTGATGGCGAAGAAAACAAGAGAAAACCCGGCTGGGTGCACAGATAACAGAGTTTTGGGCAGATCTGATTTGCTCAGTTCAGCTCTGATACCATGTTAGTGTTCGGTCTGCCTATTAGACTGATAACAGTCAAGGAAGAGAGAGAGAAGAGAGAAGGAGAGAAAGAGATAAAGGAGAAGAGCAGAAGAGAAACAAGGAGGAAATATTCTGGTTCGAATGAGAGAAAAACACCCTCTCCCATTCGGCCAGATGTATTTTATATAACTAAAATAGTGTGAAAAAGTCACATATGTCCCTACTTACGTTAGGGACATTAAATCTAATATAAACTTACACATCAGCACCTAAACACAAGTACAAAGACAGAAATACCCCTACATACTCGGCACTAATAGATAGGTTTGCCCTAAATTTCTTTAAAAAGAAAGGGTTGCCCAAGAACATCAGCTGACTGGACTAGATTCTTAAAGAATGAAGGTAAAGGATCCCAAGGGAGGTAAGGTCCAAAGACAGCTATCCATTCAAGACTGGTCCAAGAACACCCCTTCCAAAGACAGCTATCCTTTGTATTCTCTTTTTATTTTTCTTTTTATTACCAGAAAAATAACAGTGCAACTGGTTAATGAATAACAACCAAAGTTTTTGGCAATACTAGAATGTAATGAGAGAAATTAAATAATTGTCAAGACAGTTGTCACATGAATGATTCAAAGATCAGCTAATAGTGTTACTGATTCCATAGTAAAACTCAGGCTGAACAGGGCACAATTGTATCGGGGAGCATGCACTTCTGTGAATGTGTGTAAATAGATAATTTGGGTTGTGTAGTTGCAGCAAACCCAACACAAGGGGCTAGCTTACTGTTGTAAATATAATTTTTTCCCTTATATATTAATAAAGTTTCAACCATTATCAATAGAAAAAGGTAGAATTAAACTAATGGAATTACATCTTTTATTGAGTCCTGATGTTGTATTCGTCAGTCAAAGTACATTCTATATAAGACATTTGGATTCTTAACCAATGTGGGAAGGGACTAAGAGAAGTGAGCTTTTCTGGTGTTGTGCCCATGGATTAGTTATTCTATTTCTTTTGGTAAGGGTTGGTTTCCTTTTCTCTTTGAGTTCCTATTTTCTCCCTAAATGTTGTGCATAGCCTTGGGAAGTCCTGCTATTTCAGTGTTTTTGATCACCACTAAATTTACCTGTTTCTGGTAAAAAAAATTTGTTGAATTTTCTGAACCACAAAACAAGTCTGGAAATCATATATGGATTGCAAAACCCTACAAACACAAAATGTCACCAGGTTGGTGACAAATCTCACCAGGCATGACGATGCAGAATATCTTGCATGATTTTGGATTTTAACTTTGTTATTAGATTAAAGTGCTTCTTGAAGGTACTACTTTTATTGTTGTTTTTGTCCAAGAATAAATGTCTTCTGTACTCAATTACCTTCCTTTGCTTATTGTAACTTGCAAGTATTTTGTTCATTGTGCAGTATGCGAAGTTTGTTAAACCTGCTTTTGATGATTTTGTTCTGCCATCAAAGAAATATGCTGATGTGATCATTCCCCGGGGAGGTGATAATCACGTTGCAATTGATTTGATTGTGCAACATATCCGCACAAAGCTTGGTCAGCATGACCTCTGTAAAATATATCCCAATGTGTATGTCATTCAATCAACTTTCCAGGTATTCATCTTATATGTGTCAAATTCTTTGATTTGTGATTAGGTTTTTATTTGCATGGAGGAACAGTAAACTTTTCATGTTAGGTTGTTGGTGTTCTTGATTGCCTGGTTGCATCTGGTTACTTTTCTCATTTTATATCTAAATATTCTTAAGTCTTTCTAGTGTTATTTTCTAATCCTTAATGTTGTTATGCTCATGCTAAACACTGCCATGTCAGATAAGGGGGATGCATACATTGATCAGAGACAGGGAAATAACAAAGCACGACTTCGTCTTTTATTCAGATCGTCTTATTCGTCTGGTATCTTTTGACTTATCCCTAGTGATGTTTAGACTAATAGTCGATCCTGACTTTTTTGTCAGTTATCTCCCAAACGTAATTTGGTCTATCCTATGATGAGTAACTCTACAGGTTGTTGAGCATGGCCTTGGTCATTTACCTTTCACTGAGAAGCAAGTAATCACTCCTACAGGTGTGTTAAGGAAAGGCAATTTCAATTCGGTTTTCTTGTTCCATTCTTTATTTACTTTCCAGAAGAGATCAATACAGGTACTCAAGATACTGTGGATAAAATCCAAGAAGTTTCTTATCTGCCAAAAAACATGCTTGTGCTAATCCCCTTCAGGTTTTTTTGGTGATAAGTGGCCCCTTTAGAATAGTTAAATATAATTTATTTAGAAAATAAAGTACAAGAAAGGTACTCCTGTTGTTTGTCTAATATTCACGATGTTGAGTTTCTTGTTTGGAGTTGTGAGTGGGTGGTGATGGGCTGTTTTTTCTTTTATTGTTATATTTCTTCTCTCGGTTTACTGCTACTGGTTACCTTTCTTGTACTTTTTTTTCTCTTTAATAAATTTTTATTTTACTTACAAAAAAAAGTAAGACTGGGTAAAGGCCAAGTCCAAAAGCCCAAATGGTTTTTATGGAACCCAGAAAAAGTCTACAACGTGTCTCATGACTTCCAAGACCAGTCCAGAGCTAAATCTACAAGATTTCGAACCAAATCATGCCAGACTGCAGTCAGTGATGGCACAGATATCCAAAATGGATGTCATGGACACCTCAATATCCCAGGAAACCCAATAGCCCAGAAAAACCCCTAGTAAGTGCAAGGGATTTCACTAATGACTTGGCAGATTCACTAGCAAGAAGAGTGGATTTCCCAAAGAAGCATTTCCATTCCATACCTCCATAATTCCTCACTTCCCAAGATAAACTAAAAAACGAACCCCTATTCCTGTTCTCATTAAAAGCCCCACCAACCCACTAACCTAATCCCAACTTGGTTGTAAGATCTAATCAAGGCTTTTAATATACCTTGGCCTGCCACTAGGTGGTAAAATTTTTTTTTGGGGGGGGGTCATCTTGATCAGGAGGATTAGGATGGATGATTTGTGATTGCATTTTTCTCTTTTTAAGGGCTCTGGTAAAGGTGATTAAGCAATTACAACATTGTACGGGGACTTCCTTTGGGGCCAGGTGAGGGTAAAAAGGATCGCTTGATTATGTTGGATCCTGGGAGATTGTTTGCAGAAATAAAGACAAAAGGGAATTGGGTTTGGGATATTCTTTTTGAGAAAACTTTCATTGTTTTAGGCAAATTGCTTTGGAGATTCCTGATAGAAAGTGGCGAACTGTAGAATTTTGTCATTAGCAGCTTTCATGGTTTGGATGGAAAGTGAGATACTAGATCATCTAGAAGAACAACTCTTTCCCCTTGGAAATCAATTGTAATAAACCTTATTGTGGAGATTGGGCCAAATTTTGGGAAGACTTTCTTGGGATGTGAAGCCTTTATGCCATTACCTAATGTTAGCCTGTATGATATTTGCAAAAACTTCTCAGACCCCATATAAGTGGGACCAACATTAGTAATGGCCAAACAAGGCTTCAAAACAAAAGGGCCCTTTTATTAGAAGTTTTAGTCAGTTCCCATTAGCTGTATTGTGGGATCAACATAGTTGTCTTGGAACTAAGTTGGAAATTTGTAACTTCTCTTTGGGGTTATCACATGAAGGTCAAAACTTGTCTGATTAGGTTAATTTCTGTGCCTTTGGAAAGATTTTTCAGTTACCTATCCAACTATACCAAAATTTCATGAACCCATGAGATTTGGAAAGTTAAGGCCATTTTATTCAAAGAGTATCATGGGTGATGGGATTGAGTCCTAATTAAATTAAGTAAAATGCCTTTGTAAGGACTGTCTTACCGAACTGATATAATCTATATGTACGTCATTTTTGTAGTTAACTAGTGAAATGGAATTGATTATGAAACAAATTTGAATTTAGTTGCTTGTGAGGTGCATCCTCTTCTATCTCTTCTTCTCCTCTTTCTCCCTAACAAGCGCGATGCCATCTCTCTCTCTCTCTCTCTCTCTCTCTCTCTTTTCTATTTTCTCTGTTCTCTTCTTTTTTACCCTATTTATAAGTTATGGGACTATTTCACCATGTACAAAAGAGAAGCTTTGATTTTTTATTGGTAATTTTGAACAAACTTTTGTTTAATGCAAGCATAAAAAAAGGCATATCTTTGTTCAAGATTCCTGATCTAAGACACATAATAAAACCCTAATTAACTGAATTACTATAGAAGAAACAGTATAAAATCATTGTGACCTCATATGTAGGCTCTATGAGTAGCTAGCACTATGTTTATGGTTGTCCTACTATTGGATTGTGAAAGTAGTGTATTGGATGCCCATAATGCCAGATATTTTCATGATGGGAAGGGCAGATTGAAAGCACCTTTCCGGCTTTCTGAATTATTGCTTGCAACTTAATCTGCCTTGTCCATAAATACAGGCTGGGAGAAAGTGTCACCTTGGTTTTTAATTCATCCGGACAGAACTCTTATCAATTAGGTAGTTGGTTATGACAACTTTTCTTCAGTGGATTTTTTTCTTGTTTAATTTAAATAACTAAATAAATAGCCTTTTACAATATTTTTGACTCATACAGGGAGTCTACTCCATGTGTCAGCATTGCAACATGCCCATGTCTTATCAGGAAATTGCCTCAAAGTTAAACAATATCTATTGGAACCTTCCAAATAGGTTTATAAGGGAGTGGAAACCTAATTACTAGTAAGCCACAAGAAGAATTGTGAGAGAAGTACTTCAATCATCACTGAAGTTTTGTTTTCTTATGCAGAAAGTTGGATTTCCCTTAATAATATCTTTTTAAGTGTTCCTATATCATATTTTTATGAGAAATATGAAAACCCTAGCATCTAACTTGATTCTTTATATTTCTCTGTTGACTTTGTAGCCAGACTTGACATTTTTTTGTGAAGCTGGAAAAATTATTCTCCCCAAGGAAAGTGGCTGTAGTACATGACTTGCATGTGTAGTTGGGCTTTAGTTTAAAAGTCTGATTGTATTGTGGAAAGCTCAATGCCTCAGAAGCATTAAATGGTCAATCAAACCAAACTTTGAAAGGATCCAACCAGTGTTGAAATGTTTGCCTTGTCAGATTAACAAAATCACCCTCCTTGGATACTCTCCTATATGTTTTGGATTTTAAGCCATTGATTACAGAATCTATGTTTTACCATAATTTGAATGTTAGAATAAATTATTGTCTGCTGCAGATATCTTATTCAGTGTCTTTCTACTTCAGGGTCAGTCTATACAGGGGTTGACTTTTGCAAGAAATTGTGTGGAGTATCCATTATTCGAAGGTGAGCCTTGAATCAGGTATCCTTTATGGCACTTCTGGTGATTTAGGTATTGCCAAGTATTTCTCTATTACTTTGCTTGCAATGAAATTTTCATTTTTTGTTTCCAATTGAATCCTGAACCCCTCTGTTTTTACTTTGTTTTCTTTTCTATCCCCCCACTTCTGCAGCATACCAACCACAAAAATTGTTAATTCTATGCATCAAAGTACAATCTGACCAGTTCCTCTCTGTTTGCCGAACTGAACCTGTCAAGTGAGCAGAGAAGAAGAAGAGGAAGAAGAAGAGAAAGAGGAGAGGAGAAAGGAAGAAATGTTCGAATGGGCACTGTTCATCAGCCGGCCCTGTTCACTTATATAATAACAATACATAAAGTTACATAAAAGGACCAGGATGCCCCTGATTAGTGATGGGACACCCAGTCAAATAAGACACTAAATAAAAATAGGCCCAGTAACTAAGGCCCATTAACTAAAGACTTAATACCCAACCCAGACAAGAGGATAACAAAATATCAGCCGAACCAACACTCCCCCTCAAGCTAAGCATGGATGTCAATCATGTTTAGCTTGCCAAGTAAGTCCAAAAATTTCACTGTGGTTAGCCCTTTAGTTAAGACATCTACAATCTGCATCTCTGAGGGAGTGTAAGGAATGCAGAGTTCTCCTGAGACTATTCTTTCTCTAACGAAGTGATGGTCTATCTCAATATGTTTTGTTCTATCATGTTGCACTGGGTTATTTGCAATGTTGATGGCAGCCTTGTTGTCGCAGTACAACTTGAGGGGACACTCAATCTCCACTCCCAGTTCACCAAGAAGAATCTTAAGCCACAACAGTTCTGCAACACCATGAGTCATAGCCCGATATTTAGCCTCTGTGCTAGACCTAGCAACCACATTCTGTTTTTTACTTCTCCATGTAACTAAATTTCCTCCAACAAAGGTGTAGTATCCTAAAGTCGACTTTCTGTCACCCACAGAACCAGCCCAATCTGCATCAGTATATCCTTCAACTTCAATTATTGTTTTTTCTGAACAGAATCCCTTTCCCAGGGCAAGACTTCAAATATCTGAGAATCCTTTCTACAGCTTTCATGTGAGGAATTTTTGGATTGTGCATGAACTGACTGACAACATGAACAACATGAGCAATGTCAGGACGAGTGAGGGACAGGTTTATTAACTTCCCCACTAGATTTTGGTATCTTTCCTTATCAGGGTAGTCCTCTCCTACCGACTCCTTTAGACCATGGTTTGGTTCTATTGGAGTATCTGCTGGCCTGCACCCCAATATGCCTATCTCTTGTAGAAGGTCAAGGATGTATTTCCGTTGACATATATAGATGCCCTCTTTGGATCTAGCAACTTCAATCCCTAGAAAGTATCTCAGTTGACCCAGGTCTTTGATTTCAAATTAAGCAGTTAGGACCTCCTTCAGCCTTTTAATCTCTTCCTTATCATCCCCAGTAATTACCATATCATCTACATAGACGATAAGAGCTGTAAGTTTCCCATTTCTCTTCCTTATGAATAGGGTATGATCTGCCCCACTTTGAGTATAACCACCTTTCTTCATGGCTCCACATAGCTTCTCAAACCAAGCTCGAGGGGACTGTTTAAGGCCATATAGTGCTTTTCTCAGTCTACACACTTTTATGCCAAATTCATAACCTGGTGGAGGATCCATGAATACCTCATGTAGATCACCATTTAAAAAGGCATTCTTCACGTCCAACTGATGAAGCTCCCACGAGAAATTTGCAGCTAATGATAGTAGAACTCTGATAGTGTTGAGTTTTGCTACCAGAGCAAATGTTTCTTTGTRSTCAATTCCTTCMTTTTGAGTAAATCCCTTTGCTACGAGTCTAGCCTTGTATCTTTCAATGGACCCATCCTACCTATGCTTCACAGTGAACACCCACTTGCATCCAACAGTGCCTTTCCCTTCTGGTAGGAACATGCACAAAAGAGAGAGCAGACACAAAAGAACAATAACGAGGGGACAAATGTGAGTAAGACACAAAATCAGCAATGGGGTGTCTGATAGTACAAGAACGGGTAGACTTACGAAGGGCAATCGGAAGATCCAAGTCAGAGGAATTGATAGGATTACCTTGAGTTACTGAGACAGGTTGATCCAAGTCCAATTGATTGCTATCATGAGTTGGAGGACTCTTCTTCCTTCTATTGTAGGTGATTCTGATATCTTTCTGCTGCCTGCTGGAGTCTTTAGTAACATTTGCAATATCACTAGTAGTAGTTGGGCCAATGGGAGCCTCACTAGATTCACCTGGGATACTACAACTAGGAGTATCAAGAGGAGAGGATGGAAGATCTGAGGCAGAGAGGGGCACAAAGAAGGAGGGAATAGAAGGATCAATAGGAGGGTCCTCTTCCATCCCACTAGTCTCCCCTTGAAGAGGATTTGGGGAAGATTGAAAGTAGGATTGAAACTCAAAGAACACCACATCTTTTGTAACATATTTTTTCTTAGTGACTGGATCGTAACACTCGTATCCCTTCTGCTGTGTTTAGCCACTGTTGCCGCAGCCTGGACCTTGCTGTTGTGGCTTCTACCACGCGCTAACCACTGCTATCGCAGGCTGAACCCTCACCCACGAACTGTTCTAGGACTGCTGAGATCAGTCCTCTCTTCCAAATCTGTTCTACACAGATCTCACTTAGCCGAATGGCTACAACTTGTTGTGTGTGTCTCTTAGGGCATCAGCTATTGGGACTAACTCCCATTGGGCCCTACAACCAAGCGAAACCCTAGATATAGTTTCTGCTGGGTTCTACGACCAGACCTAGGGTTTCTTTGCAGTACCAAGATAGAGAGAAAGGTGAGAGAGAGAGAGAGGTGCGAGGCAGCTGCTGTAACCAGGCGAGTTTTAGTGCTCTGGTACCATGTTTTCCGAACTGAACCTGTCAAGTGAGCAGAGAAGAAGAAGAGGAAGAAGAAGAGGAAGAAGAAGAGAAAGAGAAGAGGAGAAAGGAAGAAATGTTCGAATGGGCACTGTTCATCAGCCGGCCCTGTTCACTTATATAATAACAGCACATAAAGTTACATAAAAGGACCAGGATGCCTCTGATTAGTGATGGGACACCCAGTCAAATAAGACACTAAATAAAAATAGGCCCAGTAACTAAGGCCCATTAACTAAAGACTTAATACCCAACCCAGACAAGAGGATAACAAAATATCAGCCGAACCAACACTCCTTCCTTTTATGCTGGTTTGCACATATAATTCACGTGAATGTGGCTAGTTTGATGTATAAAGTAATAGTAGTAAAGATTATTTCTGGATGGGTGTTTACAAATTTGTTTCTTAAGCACTTCGGCTTGATTTAAACTTTCATCCACAATCCAAACTAGGAAATATTTTGTTTTCCATTACATTCTTTTTTTGTTTTAGTTGAATAATTTTGTACTGTAAAAGGGAGAGATTCCCTTCAAAAGTGTAAATTTCAATTACATTATGAAGGTGAAACATATTCATTCCAATGTTCCAACACCCTTTACCCATTAACACTCCAAGAACTTTGTGTTGATGAGCTGGGAAGATGCAAGAGCATGCAACATTTCAGATATATGTTTGTAAACTTAAATATTTTCAAGTGCAAGCATGAATATACCCTTTGATATCTGAAACCAATTTTTGGTAGAACCTTTCCTAATACTTCAAGACATAGCTTTAGATTTTTATTGTTATGTTGCAGTGGTGAAAGCATGGAGAATGCATTACGCGCATGCTGCAAAGGAATAAAAATTGGAAAAATACTGATCCATCGTGATGGGGACAACGGAAAGCAGGTGGTCTACTTGCACTTTATGCTGTTCCCTTATTGCGGCTGAATGTATTTACGTAACTGATTCTGACAATATATGGACAGCTTATATATGAGAAGCTTCCAAAAGACATTTCTGAACGGCATGTCCTGCTTCTGGATCCAGTTCTTGGCACAGGTGATTCTCTGCACACAAACATACATAACACATTATTATTAGATATAACAGATATATTGATTTTTTATCTAAAAGTAGGAAATGGATAAAAGTATCTGTTGGGAAGAGATATTTGTAGGGGTGGCAATTGGGCAGGTTTGGGTGGGTTGGGTTTGGGTTGAGGTTCAACCCAACCCATTAATGACCCAATTAGGAAAAATTAAATGGGTTGGGTTCAACCCAAAACCCACCATAACCCAACCCAACCCTCCCAACCCATTAATTTTTTATTCTTTAAAAGCGACATACATAAATTCTAGAAAAATCTTTTTTGTTTATTTTTTGTGGTGTGATAAAATTGTTTGACCCGATGTCAAATTATTTAATTAACTTTTGACTGAAAAGCTTTCCGATTTCTGCACCCTATTCATGGACTGGTAGCCCAACGGGCTGATGTGGAGCCCAATAATATGTTATATAATAAAAATATAATATATTAATAATATATAACATATTACTAATAATATATACTTAATATATTGTAATATATCTGTCCAGATCATGCTTGGGGCTCAGGCTTAAGATCTAGGCCTAATGGTCGGGCCAGGCTCTAGCTCAAACTTGGTCATTTTTTGTTGATAATGAGGCAAAGCTTGGCCTGACCCAACCCATGAACAGGTCAAGTGCCCACCTTTCTTATATGACCACCGCTCCAAGCTTCAATTTGGGAGGTTGAAGGAATCTCCCGATCAGCTGGGTCATCTCTTTTGAAAAATGCAACTTGAAATCATTTTCATGGTTGCCTCCATGAGTGGAAAAAAATGATAGTTTTTAATGACTCTTACAAGGTGCTAAAATTTTCTTATTACTCAAGTTAAATTAAATGCTAGACCATTGATTCATTGTCTCTTGATATTAGAGGTAAAAGCAGTGTTTGCAAAGAAAAACATGGCTTTCAAACGGTTGGGTAGTTTGTCCCGGAAGCCACTTTTTTGCCAAAAATTGTTGAATCGGTCAGCAATTTGCTAACTCGGGCAGTCAAACCGTTGACCCGTTCAACCTAAACAGTGGTATTTGGGTTGTTTTTTATTTTCACTATTATATATTTTTTAATTTTTTAAATCATCACATGCTAATCCATTCAGATCGGATTAAACCACAAACCGAAACCGGTGGCTAAAGTGGTTCCCGGTTCTGGGTTAATTTTTTTAAAACATTTAAGAATGACCTAAAAACTGTTAAGAGAGAGAGAGAGAGAGAGAGAGTTTGCAAAGAAAAACCAATGGAGCTGAAAGAAATGGGGAAAGGAAAGTTAAAAATATCACTGGTGGTTACCCGTTGGATAACCATGACCCAACCCACCCAAACCATTATCTTTCCCATTATTGGGTTACCCAACCCGACATGACCCAGAGTTAAATGGATACAGCCCAATCCATCAATTAATGGTTGGGTTGGGCAGGTTAGCGGGTTGGGTTGAAAAATTGCCACCCCTAGATATTTGTATGAGAGATTACTATTTGCATCACTTAAAGGAATGTTAATCTTTACTTATCTAACTCAACTCAACAAAACCTTAATCCCAAATGTTGGGGTTTACTACACAAATCCTGTTCCAGAACTTGTTTTCCATCAAATCAAAAGTCATTAAATAATTTCTCCCTGTTTCAGTTCACATCTTTCTTAATGTTATCAGTCACCTTTTTAGCGTATTCATCTTAGTTATGCTCATTATTTTGGGCATGCCATTTCTTGATTGCCTAGCTTTCTTTTCCATATATTTGCTGGTCTTATTACCTTCTTATAGAAATTCTCTGGTTTTACTCTTTTAGTCTTGTTGTATATGCCAATCAAACAAGAAGCCAAATGCCACTCTCCATTTCAACCACTGTGTTCTATTCTATGGGCAGCATCCTCTTTTCTTTCTCCCCCATTATGAACGAGATGTTAATGTTCCCTAGACTAAGATAATTGCCATCCGGAGTGCAGTAATTGCCTTTAACCTCCAATAGTTGCTACAGATTCTTGCTGATGAAATTGAATACCTTTTAAGAAATTAGTAGTTGAGTTCAACTTTGTTTGACTCCTCAACTGTTTGGTTCTCCTTTTATGAGTATGTGAATGGGGTAGGTGTTAAAGAAGTTAGTCTACCTTGTTGACTATGTTTTTTTAATGAATAAGTATGAAAACTCATGTTGATAAAAAGGAGTACAATTATAGCAATTATAAAGAAGTCAATGAGAGATAAGCCCTCTTATCTCTCCCCAAAAAACTTTTCTTTTCCTTTACAATTGTGCCCAAAATAAATAATTTCTCCCCACCTCTTGTTTAGCTAGTGACTCAGCAAGAGTATTAGCAGTTTAGCACTCCTTTTAACCCCATCTAGCTTCACTTCCTTTTCTTTTGTTAGCCATCTAAACTTCTTTATCTCATTTCTGTAAATCCACATCTTCACCCCCTCATTTTGTAGCCACCCCACTGCCAATTTGGAGTCTCCAATTATTAATTTTCGAATATTCAAGGTATTATCCCCCTAAAGGGTTACCAAAACCAATTAGACCTGAATTTAAGGCAATTAGTTTAACCCTCATCATCGTTTAAAACCCTGCCTATTCCTAACATTGCCGGGATTCCCCATACTACTTCCATTAAAGTTGCATTTTATGAAGCCTCTTTCCAAAGGAGACCAACATGGATGGATGGATGATAGACTTATTGGTTGATGAATCAGCCATGCCCCTCCATTTCCAGAAGAGACCAGCATTGCTATTGCCTTGTTGACTATGTCGTGAAGATATTTTAAAGCAGTATTTTAAAAACACAAGGTACTAGAAAAACAGGAAGGGCTTTTCAGCTTGCAAGGCACAAGGCAAGGCATGCACCATTTTGAAGCAAGTGCAAATCTTTGAAAAAAAAAAGAATCAAGAACATAAGAAATAATAAAAAAGTACAGTAATACATAAAAATGCAAACTTGAAATCTAAAAGAAATGAAATGTTTCTAAATGCCTACAAACTCAAAATTAAAATGCATAAACATAACATATAAAACATATTCAAAGTGAGCACATGGAAGTAAAAGCAAACATATGTGGATTGTACAAAAGTGCTTCAAGCAGTCAACAATTCAAGCATGTTAGATTTTAATTTGTTTATTTATCCCTTGGTATAATATTAAACATCTTGCATTCCTAATACTAGGAGATCTGCCCTTTGCTTTGTAAAGGCCCCTTGAGGCAATCCCAAACAAGTCCATGCAAGGGTTTGGGGTAGTGCACCTGACCTAAATTTTTGGTGCATGCAAGAGACCAAGAGATTACTCAATGTGACCTTCGGTAATTCATAACAAAGGAGAGATTGAGGAGGATGTTGCTCATAGAATTAGAGTAGGATGGGCAAAATGGAGAGGTGCATTTGAAGTCTTAAGTGAAAAAAAAAAGATAAGCAAGTACCACTTTGGCTAAAAGGAAAAATCTATAAAACAGTTGTAAGGTCAGTAAGGCTAGCTATTCCGTATGGAGAAGAGTGTTGTGCAATTAAGGAACAGCATGTCCAAAAAGTGACTAGCAGAAATGTGATTACTTAGATGGATAAGCGGTAAAACTAGAAAGGATAGGATTAGAAATGAAGTCTGAAAGAACCTAGGAGTAGCTCCAATGGGGTGATAAAATTTGAGAAAGTAAACTGAGATGCTTTAATCATGTGCCTAGAAAGCCATCTATAGCACCTGTTAGAAGAAATGATCTGTTACAAGTTGAAGGGGCTAGAAGAGATGGGGGCAGACAGAAAAGGACTTGGGGTGGAAGTAATAAGAAATTATTTAATTGCCCACAATTTAACAACGGATATGGCACCGAACATAACAGAATGCAGAAACAGGATTCGTGTAGCTGATCCCATATAGTTGAGACAAGGCTTTGATGATGATGATGATATACAAAGAGTTGTCTTGTGATTTTAGTAGTTCATTTTACTTAGGATTAGGAATCAGATTTATATTGCTGTTTTTCTAGTGGAAGCTTTGCTTTATGAGATCTTATGTAGGAATTGAGGCTTTAGGTATTTGAAAAGTTTTTGTTTTTTTATCTTTTAAAAGTTAATATACCATTACTGATGTACACCAACAATAAAAAATAATTTGGAATTTGATAAACTGTTGTATAGATATGATTCCACACATACACACACACACACAAAAAAAAAGGCAAAAGAAGACATTTTGAAAAGGTATATGCTTGGGTGAGCCTAAAGTGCAGCAAAGGGGCTGTGTCTCTAGTTCAGGCAAGGCACATGTGTGCCTAGGTCCTCCTTTTAAAACACAGTTCTAAAGCTATCCAAACATATGAGATACCACCTTCAAGCTTGCTGTAGATTTACTAGGTCTGATTTACTTTAATCTCCATCCCCAATGGACAAATAAATTTTATTCCTAGGGTTCCTATGTAACATTCTAGTTTTGGATGTACTGATTCTGAGCATCACATGTGAATAATGACTGCAAAATCTTCTTGCTCATCTCCCCCTTGCCCACTTTTTCTTCATTTGCTCTAGTTTTTTGAGAAGTATAGTTTGGTTAGTTTTTATTTCCTTTAAATACATGTTGATTTAGAACCTAAAGAACTTCTTTTGACTTTGTAAAAGGTAACTCTGCTAGCCAAGCAATTGAACTTCTCATACAGAAAGGCGTCCAGGAGTCCCATATAATTTTCCTCAATCTCATTTCTGTGAGTTAAAACAGCCATTGCTGGTTGCAATTCTTTATCTTTTGCCATGTTGAAAAATAAGTCTCAGAATGGTTTCTTGTTTTTTTTTTTTTTTGCTGAATTTAGGCTCCCGAAGGGATCCACTGTGTTTGCCAACGGTTCCCTTCTTTGAAGATTGTTACCTCAGAAATTGATGTTGCATTGAATGAAGAGTTTAGAGTCATACCTGGAATGGGGGAATTTGGCGATCGCTACTTTGGCACGGATGATTGATTGTTGGAGTGAACTAGTCTGCCCATTCTGAGTTTTAGTTAATTCAAAATACTACTCTGGAAGAGCAGAGAGGTATCAGCAGACGTATATTCTATTTTACAAAGTGCCACCAACTTTGCTAGTGGTCTAATTAATTCTTTTTTGTTTGTGCAGTTGATACTGGAGAGAATTCTGAAGAGTTTGTCAAGAATGTTAATACAACGTTTGAAGTACTTACAGTTTATTTAGATACAAATTAAAATGACTATTCAAAGGCTTTGAAACAGAGGCATTTACATTGTATGGCCAAACTACTGGTTAAAGCATCTTTTTTTTACATGTTACTAATTAAAGTATCTGCAACGCTATTTTACATTGGTAAAATGAACTTAGCGTAGGCAAAGGCTTAAAACATTTGATAAACATAAAGGACTATGTGCCAATAGGTTTCGAGTCAGGCTTCGAAGAAAGTCGACCTAAAGGATCCATGAGACCTTTAGGCTTGAGCTTGCTGTCAATCTCAATGGTTCTATCAGCATTGAGAATTCCATCCAACAAACAGAATTTAAAATTATCTAGTCAGACTTTTAAAAGAAGGAACATGAGACGGGCTGTTCCACTTCCAAGTTGTTCACTGAAAATAAAATCGTAATACTCTGAGTCTTCAGTAATGAAAAAACGTTGTTCAATGAGTTTGTCGGAATCTTTAAAACGGGTTATTAATCCCGCCACAAATTGATTTGGTGGACAATATTGGGCCAGGCGTGGGCTGCATCTTTAAGGCCGTCAAGCTATACAAAACTGGCCGAGCACTGGCATGGCATGTCCTGCTCAACGGTGGCTCATTTGCATCTCAGGTACAGAGAAGTAGGGGTGTTCACAGGTCGGGTTGGGTCGGTTTCATGGGATTTTCCCAACTGACCCGACCTAGTCGGGTTACCAGAGGTGGGAACCGAAACCGACCCACTGATAGGCCAAACCGACCTGGTCGGTTTGAGTCGGGTTGGGTCGGTTT